AAGCCCCTGTACAAATGGAAAGAAAGCTAAGCACTTCCAATATACAATATTACAAGATAGACATTTCTATCCCCAAATGTACAAATAGGGGGATAGAAAGGAACGGGAACAAAGCAAGTCCAAAATCTGGCAGGGAAAACATTAAGTCTCTTAGTTCCATATCCAAGCATTGGAGGCAATCTGCATCAAGAGGTGAACTCCAAGGGTGCTGGGTAGCTCCACTCCTACAGCACTGTGTGTGGTTGCCACTCTCATGGCTTCTCCTCTCTTTAGCCAGCTCTCCTTGCAGTTTTCTTCAGACAGTGCTCTTTCCTGGCTTCCCCAACCTTTTGGGACCTCCACTACACCTTTAGCTTCACACTCACAGCCTCACAAACTGCTCTCTTAGGTCTTCTTCTGAAATTGGGATGGAAGCCTCCCCGATCCCACAACTCTTGCATTCCACATGTGTGTAAAATCAGCACCGTGTGGATGATGCCAAGGTCCGCCACCAGCTACAGCAGGAGCCAGGCTTCCTTCTCACTTGGCAGTAGGGCTTGAGTGCTCATGAACTAAACATAGAGGAACAAATTCTGTAGCCTGCCACCGTTCATAGTGCACTGGGGCTTTTTCTCAAAGCAACATCTTTTACCTTTGTACCTTGAGGCTTTTGCAGAAGCTGGAGTGCTGCTGTTTCTTATAATGTTCTCAGGCCATCTTTTCCATTGCCCTTTTCCTTCTCAGCAAATAAGCTCTCTGATATATGTTCATAGTTTACATCTTTACTGGAGCTTCTGTTCTGGCCAAACTAAAAAGGGTTTAAATCATCCTGCTGGGATTTTTGCTTCTGATTCTCAACATAGATCTGGCTAAAGGCCCCCGACAGTAGCCATGCCACTGCCTCAACATTTGACTGTCCTGAAATTTCTTCTACAGCGTTAATTAGTTCACTTCCCTTAATCTCAGTCTCAGGTAAGGTCTCTGGACATGAACAAAATGAAACTTTCTGCCAAAGAATAACACACATCATCTGGAGTCCAACAGCTAATGTAGTCCTTCTTCTCAGCAGAAACCTCCAGAGCCTGGTCTTTACCAGCAGCATTTTTATAAGCTTTCTGGTCTTCTGAGCTCTGACCAAAATCTCCCATCAAGTATAGCTTAAGGCATTCCAGGGCTGTTTCTTCAGCCAGCGTCTCCAAACCTTTTCAAACTCTTCCCACAAGCCAGTCCCAAAGGCTTCTGAACCACATTGTAGAGATAGGAGGTCATAGATAGGAAAAAGGATAAAATAAGATTTCATTAAGCTTTATTAAAGAAATTAATAGAAAGTCTTACTAAAGGCAGTTTTTGCCTCTTAGGCCCAGACAATTATTTAGCAGGCAACAGAGGCATGCAGCCAGGAACATGAAAGGCCAGAGTAACCAGGCTCCATTACCCACCTCTGACAAAATGAAAAGGGGATAAGGAACAGTCACCCAAGGACTCTTATTTAATAAATAAAGTACACACTTTCCCTTTACTTAGTTACCTTTCTATGAGCCACTTCTACCTATTCATGACAAAGGGACAGGAAGAAATCAAATGACCAGATAGAATGTAGATAGAAGTGCTCAGGTAAGGATTAAAGGCAGCCAGAGAACCAGTCAGATGGTGACAACTTCTGAGTGCCTATGTGGGGGATGGGAGAAATCACTAGTCACTCCCACCCAAAAGGGAGCTGAAGACAAAAATCCTCAAGTATTTCACTTTTGAGTACTCCCTCCTTGCCGTGCAGCTGTCTGTTACCTCTCTCTTTTTCCTCTTTTCCCACCTTTGAATAAAATTGTCTTCTTTTATTTTAAAGTCTGCTTCTTTAGTTCTTTACTGATGCCAGGTGTAGAATGGCTGGGAGCTGCTTTTTCCACCAGAGCGGTGACTTCCTGTCCACTCTGAATATGACAATATAGGTACAGTCACAGCCATGACTTCTCTGGTACCAAATTCTGTATCAGTTAGTGCTTAGTAGAGAAACAGATTTAATGCAAGATGTACAAATATGCACGAATTTATAAGATTGGCTCACAATGGCCATCCAGAGGCAGGTGTGGAACAGTGCAGAAGGTCTGTCTGCATGCTGGAGGTTCAAGGATGCAGTTGAAGCATTCAGTGTAGCATCTTGTGAGTCTGTATCAGGAGGCTGAAGTGTCTTCCATGGAAAGGTAGAGTCTGCACCTGAAGACTGAAGGGTCTGTACTGGAAGCCAGGAGATGGCATCTAAGGTGAAGGTGAAGACTGGGGCTCCCCTGAAGAAATAGAAGAAACCCTTTGTTTCCCTTTTATACCATTCTGGCAACAGTCCTCCATAGGGTGCATCCTCGATACCCAGAACTAAGCTGAGCCAATTTAGTTGGGCATCACTTGTTCAGGTGGACACAATCAGTTGTGAGTCTGTATCAGGCTTGTGCCCGCTTGTTGGATTGGAATGAAACCTGTGACTTCCTTCTTCTGAGCCACATAATTGGGCTCTGAGGGATTTCCCTCTCTTCTCTCATCTGTTTGACTTCATGCTCTGCTTTGATAAGTTTCCTGTGGAGGGACTGTGGCCCCTCACAGCTGCCCACAAAAGGAAGAAAGGGACACCTGCTAGTTCTGGGAAAGATAGCATTGTTACAAGCTGTCCTTTGAGCAACCTTGGAATCATCCCACGGGAGAGATGCAGTGATCAGCCTGTGTGTGTGTGTGTGTGTGTGTGTGTGTGTGTGTGTGTGTGTGTATTTATTAATTAAAAAGAGCCTGTTTTTTGTGAGTTCTTTATGTATTCTTGGTAATAGTTCTCTATCAGAATAGCTAGCAAAAATTTTCTCCAGTTCTGTAGGTTGTCTTTTCACTCTGTTGTTTCCTTTGCTGTGCAGACATTTTGAATTTGATGTAAACCCACTTATTGATTCTTAATATAATTTCTTGTGCTATTGGAATTCTATTCAAGAAGTCTTTGCCTGTGCCTATGGCCTCAAGTATTTCCTCTGTGTTTCAAAGTGTCATGTGTATAGTAGCACAGTTCACAATAGGTAAGCTTTGGAAACGGCCTAGATCAATTGATGAATGGGCAAAGAAATATTCAGCGAATGATAAAGAAATACACAGTAGGATATTATTTAGTCATAGAGACGAATAAAATCACATCATTTGCAGGGAAATGGATGGAATTTGAGGCCACCATGCCAAGTGAAATAAACCAGACTAAAAGGTGAAATACAAGGGTACCTTGTTACTGTTAATTGGTTCCAGAAGGTGTGACAAGTACCAAAAATGAGGACCAAAGAAATTATTTGGCTGGAAAGAGTGGCTTGCTCATCAAGTATCAGACTACAAATACCAGGACACAATTTTCACATCAAAATGTGAGAATACTGAATTTGAAGGATTTCAAAGCAGTTGAGTACCGAGGTATGACTTATCGCATGTTCTGTTTTATATGAGAAGATGCCAGCATTTTAAAGTTCCAGAAATGTGTTTTCATACAAATGTGGCTGAAATATTTTGGGAAGACCTCTAGTCAGCTTGATGGGTACAGTTGCGGCTTTTTACCACAAGGTGGCACTCTTTCTCCATCCCGGAAACATTTGTAGTCTCAAAGCAAATTCTTTTGTCTCCTGGCTTCTATTTAAACTCAAGATATGGCTTTATCTTGCTTATTTACTCATTACTATAACCAGACAGTATTTTGAAAATGGTTGGCTAACACCCAACACGTTTTAGAAAGTGAAATTTATATTTGCTTTCTGTCGTACCACATTTCAGAAAACTGAGAATGATCAATACCCTCTTTGCTCTTATTTCTTATTGGTCTGATGCAGCCCGAGGGTTACAATCTGATTACAAAGATTGTTAACATGCCCACAATTTTCCTTGAAAAGGTGGCATATTGTAGTATATAAACAATTTTACATGCAAAATAAAAAAAAATCAAAATTCTAAGTAATTTCAAGGATATTATTCTTGACACAGTGTATATCTTTGGAAGAGGAAATGTACAGTGTTTAATTATTTTAAGTGGACAGGAGATATGCAGAGCTGGGGATCCCTGTGTAACTTGATCAGAAACATTTCTGCACCCTCACAATGCAAGTGGGCATTTTGAAGAGGACACAAACCACCCCCATGTTTACGCCCACTGTGCTCTTTTGGAAAGAGACTTACGCATTTTACTAAATTGCCTGACTTTAAAGTCAACAATTCTAAATGCTGAAACTTTAAAATTTACCCTCTACTGTGGGTAACATTAGACAGTCAACAGGATGAATCAACACACATTTTTTTTTGAGCAGACATATTTTAGATGCAAGAAACAAGTGAAAAGACCTGTATTTTGCGGGAACTTAAAATTTGGTGTGAAGGGGGATGCTGTGGTTTGAATGTATTTGTTCTGCAAGCGTTCATGTGATGGAGGCTTGGTCCCCAACGTAGTAGTATTAATAGGTGGTAGCTCTACTGGGGAAAGGACAGGTCCCGGGGGCACTACCCCTGGAAGGCATTAATGTGATTCTCATGGGACCTCCGTTAGTTCTTGACAGCATAAGTTATTATGAAGTGAATGCACTCCATGAATTTGTGCTCTTCAGCCTGTGGCTACTTCCCTTTTTATTCTTCCACCATATTGTGACATAACCAAGAGGCCCTTACCAGAGGCCAAACAGATGGGGTAATGTCATCTTGGACTTTCAACCTCCATAACTGTGAGCTGAATAAACCTGTTTATTTTCCAAATGCTCAGCCTAAGGTAATCTGTGATAGTAACAGAAAACAGACTATATATTGGGGCAATGAGAGAGAAAGCTGGTCAGACATGTAAACGGAAAATGGAAACAGTCATCACTCATAGGATCGTCTTCCATTTGCTTGTGATGGCAGATAGGAACATAAATCAGCCTTCGGATGATTCATACAACTAGATGTCAAGTAGACAGGAATGTTCCACTGTCTGAACAGATGTGTGCCGAATCGTGATGACTTTGAGTAATGACTTGTCCACTGTCTGTTAGCCCTCCAGGAGAACTGTCGTCACATGCTCAGACTTCTTGTTCCACTGCAGCTGGATGTGAGCACATAACTTTTAACTGGAGAGCTTGATGGGACAGTATCAGGAAGTACTTCTATGAAAGGTAATGTTTTGATTTTGGTCTCAAATATTCCCCCAAAGTCTCCTGTGTTCAGAGATGTGGCTTTTGAAAGGTTATTAGATTATAGGACATTATATTCATGAATGGATTCATCCACAGATGAGTCCGTAGTTGAATATGCTGTCGGGAAGTGGAACCTATTGGAGGTGGGTTACGGGGAGCCGGGTGACCTGGAGGGGTATATTTTTGTCCCCGGCTCTTCCCTTTTTTTGTCTCCACTTCTTGGTTGCCATAGATTGAGCAAAAAAACCTTTTTCATTCTAATTTCAAAAGTAAGAAATTAGTGTCTTTAGTCAGACAGAAATAGAAATAACGTGATGATCAAATCTAGCAATTGAACCGCTTTCCTGAAAGCAAAAGTACAAGTCACCACCATAGGTTATTTTTGACTGTAGCCAAAAGAGAATTTAAGTGAAAGGGATATTGATTAATCCACGAGAAGCTGAAAAAGCTCTGCTTTCACCATGGACTCTCAGCTGCGGGATTCACACTCGTATTGTTAATAAAAGAGGCTAAAGACTAGAGGAGGAAAATGATTCTCTATTATCCCCTCTGGGTTAGAAACCCCGTAGTAGGCCCTGTTGGCTCCGTGCACTCCTCCTTTGAGGAAAGCGGAATACTGAAGAGTAATCCAATGTCTTTAAGTGCTATTTTAAGGAAGCCCCACTCTGCCCTTGTTTCCCTCCTTACACAGCTTGAATTCATTCCATCATTTTAATCACTCCCTTGTCTATCCCTTTAGCTTCCTCTCTGGGTAAATCCAACTCTTAGCTTCACTTGAGTACCTGAAAATAGCTGGAAGAAAAAAAAAAACCATATGCCTTTTGAGGCTTTTGTACAGGGAACATTAGTATTGCCTTATGCTGAAAATAAGGGCGAGGGGAGGGAGGAACAGGAAGGGGAGGGAGGGAGAGCTTGCTCGCTTCCTCTCGACTGAACATCTGAAAGTTTGATCCGATTGTGTAAAGACTGACACATGCTGGTGTATATTTAGCCTTCCTTACCTGCTCTGATGAGGCAGTAAAAGATCATTTGATCACCTGAACCTGCCAAGTAGAGGGAAAAATATTATTGCTAAATGAGACATAGGCAGGATTATTTGAAACTTAAACACCAAGTAAATAATTATACCAGTAAATTAAAGATATTTAGTTTAAGCAGGTTGAAAATGCATTCGTTATTTTGTCTACAGCATTTTTCTTGGCTCACTGTGATACAAAGGAAAAACTTCACTAAAATTAGGTTATTTTCTTAACCATTCAAGTTAATTTATTCTTTTAACCGTTATTTGCTGAGTGTACATTTTGAATGTGATGGACATAGGGTTGTTTATCTAGTGTAAAACTTGAGTGGTGTCTGCTTCTTCTGCTGGGCATAGGAAGCCTGTGTGCCTTCGACACATCTGTTTGCTAGTGCCAACACAGTGCCTTACATGTGGCAGGCATGCAACACACAGAGGCAGCTGATCAAGAGCAACCTCTAGTGCCTAGAGCAGCTTAGGATGGGTCAGTAATTTCTACCTAGTGACTCAGAAGGGTGAGACACAGGATGGAAATTGTTTCAGGAAAGGGAATCAGATAACCCAAATAGAAATGAAGTTCTTAACCACAGAACAGCTATCTACCGTCTTTAAGTATTCTGAGGACACCTAGTCCCTTATTAAATTGGGTGTACTCTGTAGTTAAACTTCTAGATTGTGACAATGTCCACTGCTGGGACAGTTCCTAAGATAAACAAAAGCTTGTAATTTACATCTGTAGTATCTCTAAATTTCTGTGAATTCTTGTCATCACTTATGAAGGGTAATAGACTCCCTGGCTCAAGTGTGATCAGAGGGCTGATAAAAATAGAACTCCCTAATTTTTTAAAAGACTATTTCTTAGAGCAGATTTAGGTTTACTGAAAAATTGGACAGAATTCCCACGTACTATTTTCCTATCTCTTTACTTTCCTCTTTGTTTGTATTGGTGTGGCAGTTGTTATAAATTGATCACCTAATATGGATACACTATTGTTAACTAAAGTCTACATTTTATTAGAGTTCACTCTGCACAGTTGTGTGGGTTTTGTCAAACCCATTATGACTGCTTCAATTTTTATTCAGCATAAGAATTAAATAATATCAGTTTTTAGTAGAATGAACAGGTGAGAAGCTAGCATAATTTAAAAATCAATTATGTGATTTGGTGCTGTTCTATTTGATAGGTTTTAACTTTTACTGTAACATACTTATAGCTGTAGATTTATTAGTAAACTCTTACTTTTATGCTTGTGTGTTTAGATTTATTGAAATAAATGAATAAACATTGTAAAACTCTATTAAAATAAATGAATGAAATTTATTGTAAGACTCTATAGTAGTGCTTGCTAATAATGAGAGGATTGCTTTTACGTTTGGTTAATGATCTAACAAGAAAAAATTCTTTTTCTTTCAGTGTGCTGGTTGCCGGGTACTAGAGAACTCCAGGCATGTTTGATGTGCTGCCTGCACAGGTCCCGGTGTGCAGAGTATAGAAGAGTATTAGCTGTTGATTATGATTCTAAGCTCTCTAACATCAGAGCTGTCAAAGCAAGTTTTGATCCCTGAACATGAGGGAGAAGCTCAGGGAAAATGCCTATTTTTGCACGAGTTAGTTGGCGAGGAAAACTGTTTCCTGCAATGAGATGATCTAGCGCAGCTTCTCGGTGCACATCCTGAATCCCCCTGTGCTGCCTGTCAGGTGGGTTTGCAGCTCAGCTCTGTGGCAGGGATGGCGACTCAGTTCTTGCGAACTTGCCTGCAGATGGGTGGCTCTCGTGGTTCAGAAGGTTTTCCTTCAGCTAAATCTGCTCTTTTCACTTCAATAATTTTTGCGCGTATGTGCTAGTCTTGCACTTTGACGGTAGAAGGAATACAGGTGGAATACAAGGCCTGAATATTTGTGTGCACTCTAAATTTGTATGTTGAAACCTAATCCCCGATTGATGGTGCTTTGATTAAAGGTGGAGCCTTTGGGGAATGCCTAGGTTCTCATGAATAGGGTTTTTACTTTTGTAAGAGGCCCGAGGGAGCTTGCTCACCTCTCCCACAACGTCAGGATGCAGAGAGGTATCATCTGGGTACCAGGAAATGGAAACCCATGAGATACCAAATCTGCCAGTGACCTGGCCTTGGACTTCTCAGCCACGGGAACAGTGAGATACAAATTCCTCTTGTTTATGAGCCACTCAGTTTATGGTATTTTGTTTCAGCAGCCCGAAAAGACTAAGAAAAACTACCATGGTACTTCTCATAGCACTAGGCTATTCAACTATATTCTAGGCAGAAAGAAAACTACTTGCTGATAACATTGATGACACTGGTTTGAATTTTTTTACTATCTTGTGTCCCGTTGAACATATCCTTGCCTATTAAAACAACTCTTAAGATTATAATGCTTAGAGTCAAAGATATACAAATGTCAGGTGTAGTTTACTATACACATAACAGGTGCGCTGTAAATATCCAAAAGGTTGTCCAATGTATGTGAGGAGAGAGGATCTAAAGTTATCCTGCACCACTGATTTCTTCCAGTAAAATCTGTTGCCACCACGTAAAACTTCTGTTTGCTTTGCAGTGTGCACATATGTCCTCCTCCTGTGGAGAAGCTGTAGGCTGGGCACTATGGGGAAACACCACAGTTGTCTGGGAGGGTGCCCTTGCCCTCTTTATGCCCAGCTTTTTATCATTTCCTAGCCTGTGCCCCTGGGTTGGGCACAAAGAGGAAGTGAGCCTTTGTGTTTGGATTCTAAGGGCACTTGATGTGTCTGCTATGTACCAGACACTATGGAATGATATGCTTTATATCATCTCATTGCATCTTGGGGCTGATGAAGCGGGTATTTCTGCTCCATGTTACAATAAAAGTATTAAGTTTGGGATATTTAAACAACTTCACACAGTCTCTTAGATCTTAAATAAAGCCAGGCAAAGACTGTAAGACCACTGAACTTCAAAGTGCATGATTTTCTTATGTGTACTTTACTGTTGGAGAAAAGTATATTTTTTGAAAGTAAATCATATTAAGTAATATAAAGTATAGCATATTTTGAAGCAATTTCCTCACTGTGAAATATTACGGCATATTTCTGTAGTAAATGGAAAGCAATTTGGGGAAAGGTTGATTCCCCCCCTTAATTATCTAAAACAAATGATCTTACAATTACATGAAAAGCTGACTATTATAGTCTAGCCAGTGGCTTGGCTTCTTGTCCAAACCTCACAGTGAAATATGCAGACTTTCTGGAACCACATATTAAAATCTCTGCAGTTGAATCAGCCCTTCTTTTTTTCTGAGTAACCTAAGCTCAATCCTATTCAGCATGTCAGAGAACTCCAAGGATGAAATCTTAAATCTTACCAGTGTCAAAAGGTAACTGCTTGACAATCAGTATCTCAGTTTCATGCTCACAAAAAGTGGCTTTATTCGAATTCATTTTGAGGCGTTTGAGTTTATCCTGCAGTGAGATGCCCTGTGCCAGAGCCTTATAAAAAGAAATCAAGAGTAGGATGATCTTTTTCATAAACGAACTTTGAAGAAAAGTCCCAAACAGATTCTCCAAGATGGTTTTAAAGGAGCATGTGGCTTCCAAGATGACTATTTTGAATGACGGCCTCTCGGGCATTCAGTGCAGTCAATGTGACATGGCTGTGGAGGAGCACAAGGAGCACCAGAGAAAAAGTCAGGAAGTGGCCGTGTGCTCTCTAAGGCTGCATCCGGCTGATGGGTGTGCACCCCTGCATCCCAGCACTACTGTCTGAGTGTACCTTGGGTTACTTACCTGTTTGGACTTTTCAGTTGTACTACAGCTTGGATAACCACTCCCCAAACCTTCTCCAAGTTTAATGTCACAATTTGAAATTAAGACTTTCAAATTCTTGTGAAAGTTCATGATGCTAATAATTAGCCTTGGTCAGAAATTCCACAATCATCTATGTATGTGTGAGGCCTGGCTATCTTTGGGCCCAGTTTGACATTTAAAAAGACACCAGCTGAATATGTTTAGAGTTTTATGACCCTTAGAAGACTACAGGATACTGCTTGTTTTAGTTCACCAGTTTCTGCTGACCCTCTTTATGCTTGTCTAGAGCTAATGAATCAGAATAAAACCAAATAAACATGCTAAGAGCCCGATGGTTTACAACCCATAATGATGTTTTAGACAGCCAGAAATAAAATCATGTATACAGTGTGCGCATGACGGAGTTGGGCAAAGAACAGGACGAGAGTGTGTCCACTCCATCCGTGGGCTCCAAGTTGTTTCTGGAGCCAAGATGGTGCCGTGGGTAGAGGGCAGGAGGAAGAACTGAGAGCCAAGGACTGCTTCCTAACCCTAGCCCATTTCTGCCTCCAGCAGAGATAAACAGCTGTGTAATTTTGGCCAATCTACTTCACTTTTCTTCTCCTTGAGTTTCTCTTCTGCAAAGTTGCAAAAGAACAGAACCTACTTCTAAACACATGTAAAGGACTCAGAGAGGTGAGAGGCTATAAAATGCAGTGGTGAAAGCACAGCCCTGTGGGTGGAGTAGCGGATAGGGAGGGCAACAGTGGCTGATGCCCCATGCCTGTAATCCCAGCACCCTTGGAGTCTGAGGCAAGAGAATTAAAAGTTTGAGCTCAGGCCGGGCAAGGTGATCTAGCAAGACCCTGCATCAAAATAAAGATAAGAAGGGGTGGGGATGTAACTCGGTGCAAAAGGCCCTGAGTTTGACCCCCAGAGTGGCAAAAATAATACCACAAAACCAAAACAAAACAGACTCTAAAGCTAGGCTGCCTGGGTTCAAATTCCAGCTCCACCATTTATTTGCTACATGATATTGGGAAAATTAGTTAACTTCTGAGCCTTAGTATCACATCCAACAATTGGGCAATAATAGTGCCAACCTGACCTAGTTGTGAGGTTTGAGTTAATGCATGCGTAGTTCTACACACAGGACTGACAGAAAGTAAATGCTGTATAAATATCTGCTGTCATAGTTTTACTTGATTCCTGGAAAAGCTGCAAGCATTGTAAGCACATGGACATAAAAGTTTTTAAATTTCCAATATTTTGTTACTGTGGCTCTGTTAGGTAAAAATTATACAGCAGGGCTAATCATATCATGTTGGGATATTTCTTATTTCCTGGTATTTTGGTAATGTTTTTCATATAACATTTTTTATCTCTTTTTACAGGTATATACTAATATATCTTTTACCAAATCTTTGTTGCCAATACTTTGCCTCCTAGTTTATTTAAACTTAATTAATTAATTTAATTAATCTCTGTACTCAATTTTGCTCTCCCTCTAAATGTAAAAAGTTAATGATTTTTAAATCTTGCAAACAAAAGATTTACACATATTGAGAGAATGATAAATGCATCAAACATAATTTTTGATTCTGCTTCTCCGCCTCTTTCCCTAGAGCATTCATTTTAACGTTTCTGCCTTTCATTTCTTCATTCAGTATTTATTGAGCAGACTTGTCAAGCATCAGGATAAGTGCTGGAAAATAATGATTCTGACACTTGAATGGTGTTTTACAGCTCAGAGTTCATTTTCACGTATATTAAATTCATTCAATCCTTAGAGGTACTCCCTTCATCTCACCCCTGATATTCCCCCCCTTTTAGCTTTATATTTCTTTTAGTGTTCCTCATTCTTTTTCTCAAATCTTTGGTGTGCAGAATATTTACTAACTGCTTCGGTGAAGTGGGACTTGGAAACCTGGTTGGAAGAACAAATAAAAAGGAATGAGATGGGAATGAGGAGAGAATTTAGATCCAGACGTTTCCAATATCATACACTGTGGAATTGAAGGATAAAGCATTTGCAGGGATACTGTCTCTTTCTTAGGAAAGTATAGACTCACCTGAAAAGAACGACACCAATAATGTACTGCATCTACTACTGCAAACCGAGTTGGAACTGAACACAGGGCTAGTAGTTTTCCAAATCCTCCCACTCCCATTTCAATAAGCATATTTAACATACTGGACATGCTGAAGTCATGATTCACTTCCCCTCTAAACACTCAGGCCCTCCAGCCCCAGAATCCAAGTTCCTCAATTATATTTTCTCATATATTTTGTGATACCAACCAGTGGGCTAGAAACAACGTACACAATTATTTCTTATTATTAGTCTGGCTTTAGCCATAATGCCCCCTTCCTGTTTTCTTAGGGCCCTTGCCCTTTCTTTTCCCTTTGCCTAAAAGAGTATTTCTTTAGTCTCAAGCAGTTTAATTCATTATTAAGTCTTATGCAGAACCTGGCTTCTACAAGGAAATGCCACTGGCTTGTGGTGGCTAAGCATGTCCCACAGGAGGAGGACCACGCTGGCAGAATGCTGCTTGTGCAGAAGCACACAGTATCTGTCACATCTGAGTTTGTACTCAGGGGTCACTTCGAGGGCGCTGCAGAGGTTCACAGGATCCAAGCGGATGATACATTCCATGAACTCCTGGTGGACGTGCTAAACTTTTCCTTGTCCAAGCTCCTTCAACTTGCGTGGCCTCTGCCTGGGATGCTCTTCCTCCATAAGGTCAGGCGGCTGTCTCTCTCTGACCGTTTAGCTCTTGTGTTCGCTGTGATGGAGAACGCTTCCACTCTGTGTATAGTATCCCCATACTCATCCCTCTATCTCATTCCATTAGTTTATTTTCTTTATGACATTTATCACCTCCTGAAATGCATTTACTGTCTCCTCACAAGACTGTAAGCTCTAAGAGGGCAATTTTTTTTTTAACCTACTTCCAGGAACATAGTAGTAGGCCCTGAATAAAACACTGGGGCAGTAAATGAACGCGTACCAGATACTGTATTTATCAAATGCGATTAATATGCCACCTCTGTTGTAGACACTGCTAATATAGCAATGAATGAAACAGAGAAAAGCCTCTGAACATGAGTTCACATTCTAATGGAGGGAAAGCAACAAAAAACTAAGAAAGTAAGTGGAGAGCTGTTAGAGCGGGGCTGCACTGCCCTGAACAGGGTGAGGGAGAAAGGAGACCCGAACGGAGGAGAGAGGCACATGGACAGGGAGACGTGGGGTTGGGAAGAGGTCCTTCCGGCAAAGGGAAAAGAAAGGGCACAAGCTCTGAGAAAACAGGAAGGGGGCATTGTGCCTAAGCCAGAAGCTCCTGAGAGAGTGGGAGGGGAGTGGAGGGTGGGACAGCCCCACTCCTGCCTGGTAGGGTCTTGTAGGCCACTGAAAGGTCTTGTGTGGGACTGGAAGCCACTGCAGGGCCTGAGCAGAGTGACAAGTCTAGCTTATGTCGGGACCCTTGTTCTTATTCTGATGGTAAGCCTGCAGAGAACAAGGCAGAAGACCTTTGAAGATCCAAGCACTCATCCAGGAAAGAGGTGATGGTGGCTTGGTTCGGGGAGATGGACGATGTTAATAACCTGAAAGAGTCTTGCAGATAGAATATAGGATTTACCAATATAACACAGAAATGATTAAAAAATAGGTACACAGTTGATATCAAGAAAGCTTTCCTTGGATTTACAGGAAAGAGATCTGTTTTGTTAGGCTGTGACACTGATGTAACAAACAGTAATCACCCCCTAGAAATTCAGCACTGGAACTTGGAACTTTCAAGTCATCTATTATTTATCCGAAGAATCGAATACAAGAACAGTGGCAAAATACTTTCAGCATCAAAATCTGTACTTGCAATTAAGTGAGTTGGTTTGGGGCTTGATCTTAATTCAGCACAGTGACATGAGTGCGATAATTGTTCAGCAGACATAAACATTTCAAAATGAAAGTGACACTCGCTCGTGAGGAGACTGTAAAACTCACTGGACAGTTCCACAAAAGGGTAAACATTATTGTCCAGAACGAAGATCTTGCCTGATTCACCCTGGTTGAAGGCCTCCACTTCAATCTGAACAGTAACTGCTCAGACCTCTGAGCCTTTGCTCGCTGGGGTACATCAAAAGCATCTTGATTATTCACCTTTGATTCTTCACTAGCTGGCACCAGCGAATAGCAGGTGCACAACCAACGTTCCCTGACCCAGGGATTTCCTAATATCTCTATCCTGTCAGTTATCAGTCATGAATATGAAATTTCAGAATGTGCTGAGAGCAAAGGCAGGAAGTGTGCTAGCAATCCGGATGCCTCTTTCGCCAGCTGTTGAGAGCAGGCTTCTCAGAGAGGAGTCTACTTCTGACTAGCCAGGGCAACAGGGAGGGAGCAACAGAAAGCAAAGCCTTCGCATAGACAAAGGGTAGTGGTGCGCGCCGTAGTCTCAAGTTACTCTGCGGGCTGAGGCAGGAGAATGACAAGTTTGAGTCCAGTCTGGGCAATTTAGCCAGAGCTTGTCTCAAAATAAAGCAAGGGCTGGATATGGAGCTGAGCGGTACAGCGCCTGACTAGCGGTAAGGGGTAAACGCGAAGTCCTGACTCAATCTCTAGCACCGCCCCTCCCAACCCAAACAAGCAGAAAACATATATCCTTCCCTGAGGCTGAGGGAACCTGGAATAGACTGTAACGCTGGTGGCGAGTGCGAGCGCAAAGGCGCCAGGGCCTTTGGTAGGACAGACAGGCAGCGGCTGGAAGGTGGTTTTATTTTTTTTTTTTTTTTTTTTTTGGTTTTTCTCCGGTACCAGGAACTGAACTCACGACCTTGCGCTTGCCAGGCAGGCGCTTTTGCCGCTGAG